AGAATTTTACACTGAAGTTTTTAAAATATTGCTGAAAAAATTAAATAAGATCTAAATAAAAGGAAGAACAGTTCATATCCATAGATTGAAAGACTTAGTATTGCTAAGATACTACTCCCCAAAGTGATCTAGAGACTCAATATAGTCTCTACCAAAATCTTAGTGGCCTTTTGGGGGGGCAGAAATAGAAAAACATCCTAAAATTTAGGTGGAATCTCAAGAGACCCCCCAAATAGGCAAAACAATCTTGAAAAACAATAAAGTTGAAAGGCTCACATTTCCTGACTTAAAAATTTGCTGCAAACCACAGTAATCAAAACACTTCCAAGACTCCAAAAAGTTCCCCCTTGTTCATTGTCAGTCAGTCCTCCCCACCACAACCCCAGGCAATCATTGGTTGGCTTTTTGTCACTATAGCTCTGCCTTGTCTAGGATTTCATATTAATGCAATCATATAGTGTGTATTATGTAGAAGTCAGGCATATGATCTTCGCCTGACTTCTTTCACTTAGCATATTTTCAGAATTCTTTCATATCATTGTATATATGAGTAGCACATTTCTCTCTGTTGCCAGTACTATACTATTGTATATGTGCATCATGATTTTATCCATTCACTAGTTGATGGACATTCGAATTATTTCCAGGATTTTTTGTTTTGTTTTATTTTGTTGTAACAGTTTCATTTTACTGCATTGAGGTCCAGATTTCTTTTCATTTATCACATTTTCAAATTAATTGGAATTCTTGAATCTGTGGATTAGTGATTTTCACCAGTTATGTAAAACTATCTTTTCAGATATTAACTCTGTTCCACCCTCTCCCTATTCCTTCTAGAACTTCACTACTGCTTATTACACTTCCTTCTATCCTCCATGTCTTCATGTCTTTCTTACGTTATATCTTTTTGTCTTTCTGTATGGCATTCTTGATAATTGCTTTAATATGCTTTTTAATACAAAATGTTTTTCTTCCAGATCTGCCCCTTTTATTTCTAGGACCCTGGGTAAGAGTACAAATGGAAGGCCACATACTGTATAGATATATTTAAAAGTTAAAAATCAAGGTAAGAAAGCATAAGATAAAATAATCTTACATCTTTCTACCTTGACCAAGTCCAGGTTTAAATTTTAAATTTTGGGATATCTATAGCTCTATAATACTAGATACTCTATTGTGCAGTGGCACAGGGAGAGCTGATTTCTAACTGCCAACTCCAAACCCTTCTTTTTCTACCCTCAATTCTATACTACACTGCAAGGGACATAAAGTGAACATCGTTATCTGGGCACAGTGGTGAACACCTGTAATCCCAGGTATTTGGGAGTTACAGTTACTCTTGTAACTGCCTGAGGGCAACAGCAGACTCCAAAGTGTAGCATGTAAGAATGGACCTTTCTTGCCTTGATCAAAGGGTTACATTGGTATCTTTAGCTATGTTAAACATATTTGTTGAGTTTTTTTAATTTGTTGAGTTTTTAACTTGAGTTATTATGTTATTAATAACTAGAAATTCTAGTTGGTATTTTTTCAAAACAGCTCTATTGATATTTTAGTTCCTCCTTTTATTTTTTAACACTGATCATACTTGTTTTATATTATGTGTCTGTTCATTCCAAAACTTAAGTCTTCGTGAATTTGACTCTGTTATTTGTTGTTTGGGTTGGCTCTTCGATCTTGTTTTGGATGCCTTATTTCCTCATGTGTTTTTTTTTTTAGTTCATTTTTTTTTTAATTTATAAATGTTGATTCCTTCAAAGCCTGAAATAAAGATTGATTGTTCCAAAACTGATTCTTCCAAAACACATGTTTGTTTCTCCCAAGCACTGGAGGGCATGACAAGTTTACATAAGCCAAATTTTTCAGACTGTGTTTTTAATGTACTCTCCAGGTACTGAAATTTCAAGATGTAAATCATGTGAAGCTCAAATTGTGATTGCCTAATTCAAATCCAACTCCAACTCTGCCAAGATTGTTGGGCAATTTTCCAAGAGGGGGATGGAGGTGCTGGTTGATTTCTTACATTAAGGATATATTAGGTTTCCTTTTAAAATCCAGTTTTGGATAGGCCTTTGGCTTTGTCTCTCATTCTCTAACCCTAATCAAGTTCACCAGTTTAGGCAAATGCCATCTGGGTTTCCTCTCCCATGTGTGTGTGTGTGGGGGGGGGGTGCTGGGTATTGAGCCCAGGGCCTCTCACTTTGGGTAAGTGCTCTGCAAATCTACATTCCAAATTCTTTCTGCCTTCTTTTGTCCTAAATATTCCTTACTTTCTTGCCAGCTCATTGAAGCAAGAAGGAAGGTGTTATTGAGCATTTTTACTGGTTTTCAGTTATCTGCTTTGTGTGTGTGTGGGTGGGGAGTACCAGGGATTGAACTCAGGCACTTGACCACCAACTCACACCCCAAGTCCTGTTTTGTATTTAAAAAAAAAATTTTTTGTAGTTGTGAAGGACAGCATGCCTTTATTTTATTTGTATGTGGTGTTGAGAAACAAACCCAGTGCCCATCTACTTGTCTCAGTTTCCACTAAAATGCATTGGTTTATGCCCTTATGATTTCAGACTATCCAAAAGTCTTCTAACTGCATTCCATGCTCAGTCTTTACCCTTCCTCTTCTCTTCAACTCTATCTCCTCAAGCAAGTTGTATTAGTAAGGGTCTTAGCAAGAAACAGAATTCACCTGAGCTAGTTCAAATGAAAATACTTTGGTGAAAGAACCAGTTACAGAGGGGTGAGCACTGGTAAGAGAGCAAACAGGAGATGAGGCACTCAGAAACTAGTTAGAGTGTTTTGTGACTTTTTTTTAATATTTATTTTTTAGTTGTAGTTGGACACAATACCTTTATTTTATTTATTTTTACATGGTGCTGAGGATCAAACCCAGGGCCTTGCACATGCTAGGTGAGGGCTCTACTGCTGAGCCACAACCCCAGCCTGTGACTTTTTTTAGTTTCTTTCTTTCTTTCTTTCCTTTCCTTTCCTTGTTCTTCTTTTTTTGTTTTGTTTAAAGAGACAAAAGGAGAAAATAATTACTGGACACCAGGGAAAACTAGATGGAAGAAGTCACACCTGATACAGGCATGAAGCGATGAATTCATTACTGGAAATGTGACATTAAAGGAGGAAGCAAGTAGGGAAGAAGTGTCCCAACTTCACTTTCTACCTGCCTTCTGATATACTCTTCTAGGTCTGTCTCAATTCAAATCTAACCACAAGTTGGTCCTTAAAGAAGCCAAGGTCAACCTCCAGAATCATAGATGTTGGCAAAGAAGGGCAGACAAAGAATTTAGGGGACAAAGAGAAAATAACCTGTACATCAGTCTTTCTCTAGGCCACTTTGAAAGAACTATCTAAAATACAAACTTTATCATACCATCTTTTTACTTAAAATTTGTCAGTGGATTCACATCTTTTGTACAGCTAAATCTAAACTGGGATATGTGACTTCACCCTTGATTATGACTTCATTCCCCAGTTCTTGTGTAGGCTACAGTTTTTTTAAATTATTTCCAGATTCTACCCTATTGTATTCTCTCATATGTCTGTATTTTGGGCATACTCTTTCTTCCTTAAGGTTTTGTTCTGCATCGTCTTTGTTTAACTTCTACTCAACTTTTCAGAAGACATCTTGGAATCATCTTCTCCTAAAAAAGTTTTCCTTCCCACCGTGTTTCTATAACTTCTTTACTTACGTTCATCAAAATACTTAGTTGACCTGAGATCTCTGCCTTTCTCCATTGAAAAGATAGATGTGTGTTTTATTTCTTATATACATGACATTTAGCACCATTACTGGTACATGGTGGGCAATTAATAACATTTTTGTCAAATGAATAAATGAAAACCAAATATTAAGAAAAAGCAAGACAATGTTTGTATATTTCTAAATCTCTTTGAAATTTTAAGTTATGAGGAAAAAATCTTCAAATTTGAAGTTTTCTTTTCCAAATTAATTTCTGAGACATTTATATTGTATACAGGCATAGAAAGAAAAGGAAAAGATGATAAGCCCACGGACTGAGAATCTGAATCCCGAAGATCAGTCCTAAACTTGAGTAATGTGCTCCTTATCAGTTTTTTATAACATAGGAAAGATATTGTTTTGATGTTAGCTCTAATTCTTTGACAAATAATACTCTAAATAATTTAAATATATTAAAAAATATGTATCAATCCATAAATTTCTGGTAAATGATATATAAGTTATCTAACAGTTATTTGTATATTATATATTTATATATTAAAAAATCAAACGATTGTGGAAACCATGCTTGCTTGGTTAAGATTCCAATAGCACAAAATGTTTTCTTATCAAAAATTTTGTTCCCTATGACACTGGGAACAAAATACTAGATTTTTCCCCAGATGCCACGCGAAGCCTCGATAAAGCCTCCCCTTCCCCCCGCCCTAGAATTTTTACCTATGGATTATATATCTATATCTATATAGCTATCTTTAAAATGTTCTTCACCCTAAAATTCTGCCAATTTTGGGCCAAAAATCTCTCCCCCTCCCCCGGGTGCAGGTTCTCACACATGCTAGACAAAAGATCTCATATTGTAACACATCCAGCATTGGGAGCATTGCCCAGCGGACATTGCTCATTAAAGAGAGGGGCTATAAGCATTTCACTGGGATTTTGAACCCTCCAAGAGGGAAAACGAAAAGTCTATGACACATACTACGGATCCCAGCATACCCTGCGGTGACCAGTGACCACAACTCCCGGGATGCATTGCTCGCCGCATGCAGGTTTCTCTGGTCGCTGGGACTTGTAGTTCTCCCAGATAGTGTCAACTTGATCGGGGAGGGCTGTGGTTGCGTGCTCAGCCCCAGGATAGTAAGGGTGACTTCCCAGCTTTTGGTGACAGCCTAACACTTCGGGGTCCTGGGCCGGTTGGATTCTTTGTTTCGTCTCTCGGCTTTAGCTTTACATAGGGTAAGTCACGGAGGGGCTACAATTACCCACTGCAGGGCCCCATCCTTTATTTCTGAGAGCGACCTCGTTCTGGCGGAGCCATTTGTCCCTTAGCTCTCGCCGTAGCAGCCGCCGCCCATCCCTCTTTGTGTGCACTAAGAATCCGCCCGAGCTTGTGGTGGCTACAGTTGGCGTTGGGGCTTAGACTAGGGACGTTGCCGGGAAGTTGTAGAAGGGACGACTCTTCCCCATCCCGCCACCTGACAGGTGAGTTGATGGTTCTTTCCTCAAGGCCCGTGTGCCTGCTGTGTCCCAAGTCTGAACTCGCCAGGTGGCTTAGCAGTTCCTGCTGACAGCGCCGGCCCGGCTTCTGGGAGGAAAGGCCGGGGGGAACGCGGGCCGTGACTCAGGCGGTCTGGGGAGAGGAGTCAGCTCTTTTCTCTTTTTGACCCTCCAGGGGCATCTCGGGGCGCTTTGAGCTTGTCTGGCGCCCCCTGGCCCTTCCCCGGACGCCCTAGCCTGGACCGCGCCCTCTTGGCCATAAGCCCAGGAGGAAGGGAATTCCTTTTCGCCTTGCTCCATTTTACGAATAAAGGTCGTTGCTGCTTGCTTGCATAGCGTTTCTATTCACCTTGTATATGTTGGAAAGTCTCTGAACGCAGAGAGTTGTAGCACAAAATTCTAGAGACACTCTTTTCCCTTAGAGTTTTAAGAAAATGAAACGTGTCCGTCATGGAGCAGAGGCTCTGGGCTCTCTGAGGATGGGAGGGCCGGTCCGCTGTGGCTCAGCCTGACAAACTCTTAGTATTTGACCAAAAATGCACTTACTTCAACATGCATATTTGTATTGGCATCTCGTTGACGCTGAGCAAAAATAATTAACAAAAAATTAGGCGTCGTGCCTGGCATACAGAGTTATGAATGGAATTTCTCTCCAGCTTATTAAGATGAAGCTTTTTATCGGTCAGAAAAGGAGGAAGATCCACAGGTCTCTTGTGGGCCATTCGTTTTAGTTTGTTTGAATGAATCATGGTAAATATTACATGCGTATTTAAGGGTCTACTGTGTCAACTTTTCACCGTTTTTATATACTTGAAAATTCATCTCTCTTTTTGGTCTTTTGAAATTTCATTTATGCATTTATTACTAGAGGGAATTGCGCCTTAACCAACTTAACCTTTATTCAGATTTAATAACTGTTTTTTAAGAGATTCCTCCCAAAAAGTTTTCCAGAGGTTATTCTCCCACTTTTCTTGATCTTAAAGCATTTAATATTTCTGTTATACAGAGACATTGACAGCTTGATCATTATGTTAAATCAGTAATATAGAGAAGGCAACAAGTTCCTGGCTTCTACCTTATGCTCAGCCCCTAGGTTACTTTTTTGCAGTTCAGAAAAATTCAAATCATGCTTCCTAAAACTGAAGGCCAAGTAGTGCACATGTAATTTTTTGAAGATATTTGTAACTCTGATTATCTTACCTATTACTCATTTATCCAGTGTCGATTTAATGTTAAAGTCACTCTGCTGGAAGCTGTGAAGATACCAAAAATGACTAAAACATAGTCTCTGATTTCAAATACCTTACACTCTAATATGGAGCATTTTAAGTATGTTCACAGATAATTGTTCAAAAAGTGCCATATGATATGTAGAGAGATTTGATTTGATAATGCTGGTAGCTTGTGTTTTGTTTGTCTTTAATAGTACTACTTTTAGAATTTATAGGAATCTCCTGTTTTCCCTTCCATTGTTTCTAGGAACAAAAGCAAGACTTATAGTTTTCATCTATGTTATACAGCTTAAGATCCTCTCTACCTCTTAATGCCATCCCACAATGTCTGTTCTAAGTGCTAATTTTGACCTTTATCTCCAGTGACTTAATATATTGTCATCAAAAAATAAGACAATGTGTTAAATTTGGGAACATGAACATTAAGACATTTACTGTGTGCCAGCTATTGTGCTCAGCACAGGGTAGTATTTCTTACATACATGTGTTTATAATTTTTCTCAAGTCTTAGTATAAAGTATGCTGCTTTTACCAAGGTAATGATTATTGTAAATAATTATATGCTTCTTAAGGTCACAAACATGTCGGACAAAAGTGAATTAAAGGCTGAATTGGAACGTAAGAAACAGCGATTGGCCCAAATCAGAGAGGAAAAGAAGAGAAAAGAAGAAGAAAGGAAAAAAAAAGAAGTATGTTTGACTTGGGGGGAAAAATAATCTCAGTGTAAAATAATTGGATTTTATTTCAAGTACTTTTACCTTTAATAATTTCAAAATAGTTAAAAATCTAGGAGTTGTGATGGCAAATATAGCACTACAAGTAAATCTTACTTTAAAGTAATCTTACTTTAAAAAAAGCCAGATTTATGAAAATGGCAAAACTGATAAAATGTAGGTTTGGGGTTATTTTTACTGAATAAAAGGATACATTTATAATGGATACATTTATAAGATTCAATTTATAGAAGTTCAACTTATATATGTGGTCTTCAAGGAAGGTATTTGTTATACAAAGTAAGGAGCATCTGCATTGTATTAGACATAGGGCATATATACCACAATTGTAATTTGAACTTTGAACTTATTTATCTGTATATTTTGCTGGTCTAATATGCCAGTAATTTTGTCAGAATTTATAATATTAATGGCAAACATATGTGTGTGTGTATATATATGTGTGTGTATGTGTGTGTATATAGTAGGTAGCTTACTTGTTTATGTGTGTGTGTGTATAGTAGATAGCTTAATTGATTATAAAATTTGTACTTGTCTCTTTTAAAAGAGTTAATCGTTGAAATATATTTACTGAGTAGTAGGTTTGATAGTGCCATAAAGGTAAACCAAATACTTTGGTCTTACAATTTTTGGAATCATCTATTTCATCATATATGCATATACATTGTCCTTGAACTGCAAATATTTTACTTATTCCTGTGTTTAAGCACACATTTATCCCTATGGAAACTCTTTAGACATATTTATATACTTTCAAACATGGATATGTTTTAAATGGCTAGTGTAAGATAGTTTGTGCTAAGTATGCCTTTAGTATCTAGTTTTTTTTTTTTTAGAGAGAGAATTTTTTAATATTTATTTTTTTAGTTTTCGGCGGACACAACATCTCTGTTTGTATGTGGTGCTGAGGATCGAACCCGGGCCGCACACATGCCAGGCGAGCGTGTTACCACTTGAGCCACATCCCCAGCCCCAAGTATCTAGTTTTTATATGTAATAGTCTAAATAATAGCCAAGGCTTGTAGAAATTGCTTAAGGAAAAAAATCAGTTGGAAAATATCAAAGTTGTGGCATTGCTATGATTCTGTAAAGGTCTATAATTGAAGAATTTGCTAGTTTATGCTGAACCTTTCTATCAAACACTGTTATAAGAAGATTGGAGCTTTATATTAGATATATCATTAAAAATTAACTGATAGACCCAGGTGTGATAGTGCATGCCTTGTAATCTCTTGGGAGGCTCAAGCAGAAGGATCAAAAGTTCAAGGCCAACCTCACCAATTTAGTGAAACTGTGTCTCAGAATTAAAAATTAAGAAGGACTGGGGATATATATAGCTCAGTAGTAGAGTACCCCAGGTTCAGTCCCCAATACAAACAAACAAACAAACAAAAAAAAAGTGCTAACTGGTAGAAGCATGATTAATATCGATAGAGCCATTCCACATACTGTCTGTGGCTTTAAACTCTCTCCAATGCTGAACACAAATTCAATTTTTGTTTTCTAAGTTGGGCCATAAGCAGCCTCTAAGGGATTTCTACTACATGATATCTAATTTAAAGCTTATATAAAACATTATAAGAGATAATAGTAATAAACAGTCTACTAGATTATAAACAGGAAAGTTTTAGCATAGTCTGTTTTGCTATCTTGATTGAATAATCTGATGACTTTAAGTTAAAATATTATAGAATATTATGATGAACAAAATTCACTCACTATATGAGTAGTAGTTGTCTAGTTGACATCATTTGAGACATATATGTATGTATATGTTATGTAAATTTTACTTTGAAAGCTTGAATTATACATATGATATTTTGTGTGGTCTGAGAATGTTGAAGTTTATTCAATTTAACTAGATTTTACTAAAACCATAAATAACTGAAATTTAATGGGCAAAACTTTTCATAACAAAAAAATGTTTTTATGTGCAAAAAGTAATACTTAATTTTATCTAAACCCAACATTGTGTTTATATTATTAAAATAAAACCTGAAATCTGGGCAGAGTGACATTTGCCTATAGTCCCAGCCCTTCACGGGGCTGAGGCAGGAGAGTTGTTTGAGCCCCAAAATTTAAGGCCAGTCTGGCAACTTACAAACTGGTCCTGTTTCTTAAATTAAAAAAGAAATAAAATAAGCCATGTAGTTTAAAAAATAAAAACTTTCTCCTGACAAATTTTTAATAAATGTTCTCTATGTAAAGTTGCATAAAAATGATGAATATTTTATACAGAAAAGTTTGAAATAGTCATACTTTTTCAACAAATCAAATTGTTTATTCACTTAAAATTTCTTTTAAAATTAGGAATTTTAAGTTAATTTATTAACATATGCCAATTTCATCTAATTTTTTTTCAGTGTTATGACATGGCTAAGCTTTTATTCTACTCTGGGGGGAGATTTCCATGATTCCTGTCCATGGTCACCGATTTTATATTCAAAGTTGACTGTACTTTTTGAACTTATCTATCAGGGAAGGTTTTGTAAAAATTCCTTGATTTCATATAAACGTGGCTCAATTCAGTACATATTATTTGGAAAGTATTTACTAGAACTCCTGAGAACGACTGTCTCATAAAAATATACAGTGTTAGCACTTTATTTAAAAAATACGTTTTTTGCACATAGAAATATTTCCTACCATATTCAAACTTGAATTTAAAATTTTTTTTATTATTTCTTTTATACATCACAATAAAGGAGTGCATTACATTCATAATTTTTTTGCATTGCAGTTCTTAATACACCTTTATACCACAGTTTATCAAATTTGAATTTTTAACTTAACACTTTTAGACTGATCAGAAAAAGGAAGCTGTTGCTCCTGTGCAAGAAGAATCAGATCTTGAAAAGAAAAGAAGAGAAGCTGAAGCATTGCTTCAAAGCATGGGGCTAACTACAGAACCCCCCATTGGTAAGAATAAGAATATATCCATTTATGAGAGATAAGCATATAGTCTGTTCAGCTGAGACATAGCAAGATAAGTGATTTAGCTTGATATATTTTGCATATTTTTCTTATTTGTATCTCAATCATTAATCTTATTTATTTGGAATTGCCTTTTTTTCAGATGTGCTAGTACATGGTTATTTTATTTCAAAAGACTTGCAAGATTAACTATATTTATTAACATATACCAAACTACCAATTGACTCTTCTTAATTAATGAGTAATTTATTTCAGCATATATTTTGTTGAGCAAGTTTTGTGTGCCATACTATGACTATTTCACCGTAATTGTATTCTTTTCTATAGGTTAGGTAAATTGGGGAGATAAAATCAGTAGCTTATTTTGGCAGATTTGAATTGTTCTTTTTCTGGGTTATTCATTTTAATACCTATGCTAAACCAAGATGCTGAAATAGTAGAGATACTAAGGACAATCTAGATTACATATCCTAAAACATTTAATGCTTACTTAGAAGAGGCCTGTGCTGGGTGCTGTTATATAGTATGTAGTTTAGTTTAACATGGCCTTGGTCCTTTGGGGACTAAAAATTTCAGGGTTAGTTTCATCTAGTCCAGGGGACAAATGCCAGAGACAGTAACTGTTGAATGCTTGTTGTGAGATTGCAACACAACTGTCCTTAAAGCTGATGTTTCTAAAAAGTTTCAGGATGGAAAAAGCCAATTGCTTTCATGGTCTGCTTTGTTATTACTTCTTTTTTATTTTAATATATTTTTAGTTATAGATGGACACAATACCTTTATTTCTTTTCATGTGGTGCTGAGGATTGAATTCAGTGCTCACACATGGTAGACAAGCACTCTACCACTGAGCTATAACCCCAGCCCTTGTTATTATTTCTTTAAGCTCATTTTCCTTTTCCTTATTGGTAGAATTTGAAGACTGATTTTTTTTTCAGTGTTATGACATATCTAAGCATATTGATATTGATTTTTATGTCTGTAAGAAGCTTATTTGCATATTGGTTGTTTTGTTTTGTTTTGTTTTTTAGGTGGTAGTGTTGGGGTCCAAAACCAGTGACTCAAGTGTGCTAGGCAAGCATTCTATCATGTACCCCTAGCTCAATATATTTCATTTTTAAAAGTAAATAAATTAGAACACTTTTTTTTTTTTACCCAAATAACTGAACCACATTGCTTGTTATTTGTTAGATGTGTAGTCCTTGAATGTTCTCTTTATTTGTGTGCCATTAGCATTTATTTATTTATATTTGATACAGGGTCTCACAGTGTTACTCAGGCTGGCCTTGAACTTGTAATCCTCCTGCCTCAGCTTCCCAAGTCTCTGGGATTATAGGCAGGTTACAGCATCTAGAATACCACTGGCTTTTGTTTTCTTCTGTAAGATTTTTTAAAAATATATTTTTAGTTGTAATGAATATATCTTTATTTTATTTATTCATTTTTTTAATATGGTGCTAAGAATCAAACCCAGTGCCTTATGCATGCTAGGCAAGTGTTCTATCACTGAGCTACAACCCCAGCCTGGGTTTTTTTGTTGTTGTTGTTTTTTCCTTTTCTGTTCAGTTTTACTGAATTCACTTATTTGTGTTTTCAAGACTCACCTCTGTACATTGATTTTTAAAAGATCATTGTTTAGGGATGTGTGTATGTTTTTTTTCATTGTCTTACCCCATCTCCAGTTCCCTTCTTCTTCATATTGGTGCATCAATTACACACTTCTGCATTTTTAACATACTTTTACATACTTCCTTTTTCCTGTCCTTTGTGTATTCACATTTTTCAAGGGGTTTTGCATATCCACATGTAAAACATAGGTTTAATATACATAAGAGCATTATGTTATATGTCTCATTCTATTTATTCCATGTTGCTACATACATATCTAGTTAGTAATTTCTGACTGATATAGAGTATTCCATTGTGTACCATATTTTTGTTAACCGGTTCCCCCAGAACTATACACTTAGATTGCTTCTCTCTTTTTTGCTACCATAATCCACACTGCAAAGAATATATTCTTTTCCCTTGAGGACTAGAAGAGTTTCTTTGGGGTATATGGCCAAGAATTGACTTGCCATGTTATTGTACATAAGCTTATTTAGGTTCTGTGTATCACTCTTAAGAATAGCTACAGAAGTTTATCTACCTTCTAATTTTTGCCAACTTGATGGGTATAAAGGGATATTCCCAAAATGTCTTAATATTTGTTTATTTGATTACAATGAAGTTGACCATCTTCATATATCAGTCATTCAGATTTTCCTTTCTGCAATTACATATTTGTATCCTTTGGTTAGCTTATTGTTTAGGTTTTCTTTATCTTCTTCTTCTTCTTTTTTTTTTTTTGGTGAGTGTGTGGTATTGAGAATTGTATCCAGGGCCTCAAGCATACTAGGCAAGTGCTCAACCACCGAACTACTTTCCCAGCTTTGAGGTTCTTCATCTTATGATTTGTAGAGTCCTTGTATATTTTAAGGATAGCACACCAGCATATTTGTCAATTATTGAACTATTAATGACACTAAAATTGAATATTCATTTATGATTATGATAACTAGGTCTTTCCATCATGATTACTCCTTTTGACTAATAGGTAATATCTGGAGGTGATTCTTTGTCACAATGTGGATATTAATTTTACCATTAGTTTTTTTAATCTAATACTATAAATACTTGATCTTATCTAAGTTATTTAGGAGTTGCAAAATTGTTTTGTAATTCTACCATTCCCTCTGCACATACTAACTGAAGTTCTTCTGGAAAGGGAAGATTTTTCTCAACAACTAGACCTGTTTGGTTACCCTAAGAACACTGCCAATAGAAAAAAGGGAAGTTGTTTCAGTTTAATTATACTATTCTTTCATTACTTGCCCTTATAAGTCATAAAGCACCACTTCATCTTTACATTGGAAGAGAATCACTAAGTCCAGCCCACATTCTTGAAAGAATTTGTGGGCATTCTTAAAACCACCAAAATATTTACAACAAATTCATAGGTTTCTTCATATTTTGAGATGATCACATTTTTTTTTCCTTTTAGTGTATTAATGTGTTAACATTGATAGTTTTTTCTTAATGTAAAAGCATTACAGTCTGGAAAAAAACCAACATTGTTATGAGATATATTTCTTGTGTATGTTGCATTTTTGTTTGATACTATTTAGGAATTCTTCATCAATACTCAAGAGAAGCAGTCTTCTTTAATTTTTTTCCTTTTAGTGTATTTTGCCTGGATCATTAAATGAGTTATACAGTTTTTCTTTCTTCTTTTCTCTGGAACGGTGGTTCCAGAGAAAATTATTTGTTAGGAATTTCCCGTAAGATTATTTGGGTTCTTTTATCAGTTTTGACATTCATTTCTCATAGGAAATAATTCAGTATTCCGTTTTATTGACATATAGGTATACATGATTTCTTCATAATTTTGGGGGACGGGTACCGAATATTGAACTCAGGAACACTCGGCCACTGAGCCTCATCCCTAGCCCTGTTTTGTATTTATTTAGAGACAGGGTTTCATTGAGTTGCTTAGCACTTCCCTGTTGCTGAGGCTTGCTTTGAACTCACAATTCTCCTGTCTCAGCCTCCCAAGCTGCTGGGATTACAGGCATGTGCCACCATGCCCAGATCTTCATAACTTTTTATTCTTATTATACCTAGAATTATTTTTTTCTTTTCTTTTAAGAGTTTGCTAACCTTCTTTTCTTCTTTTCTTTTCCTGTGCTCAAATCCAGAGCCTCCCACATGCTAGGCAAATACTTACCGCTGAGCTACATCCCCAACCCCTGCTTTTTTATATTTTCTTGCAAAAGGTTTGTCTTTTTACCTTTTATCAAATAACTGGCACTTTCATTTTTCTTTTTCTTTTTCTTTTTTTTTTTTTTATGGTGCTGGGGATTGAACCCAGGGCCTTTTGCATGTGAGGCAAGCACTTACCAACTAAGCTATATCCCCAACCTACACTTTCATTTTTCTTACAAAATTTTCTTACCACTTGTCTTGTTCCCAAGCTCTTCTATTCATGTACCAAATATTCTAAGTGATCTGTGAGGGTATAACTCAGATCACATTTTTACAATCCAGTCAGAAGACAAACAAAATTTTAAAAATTGATATAGACCACATTTGATAGAATTTGGAGGTAGTGGTATTTAAGTTGCATGTTAAATCTCCATTTTTGCTGAAAGACAGATGAACCTTAAGTATAATTGGCTTTTTGCATAATTTATTTTTGTTCTGTGTTTTTTTAATCCTTATGGTAAAACTCACATTTCTTATCCTGATAGTGAATATGCTATTCAAACCCAGGAAGAAACTGTAAAAATAGTTAAGCTTTACTTATTTATTTTTTAAAAAAATATTTATTTATTTACTTTAGTTTTAGGTAGACACAACATCTTCATTTTATTTTTATGTGATGCTGAGGATTGAACCCAGTCCCTTACACATGCTAGGCGAGTGCTCTACCTCTGAGCCACAACCACAGCCCTAAGCTTTTTTTAAAATGTTGAAATCTCATAGAATATCCTAAAAATGTATGTCTTTGGATTGATAAGTGAATGTTATTTGTGAAGTATGATTTTTTGGTGTCCGTATCTATAGGATTTCAACATATACTAATGGTAAAGGAGAACCTTTCAGGCAGAAGAAATGTGAGGAAAAACATGAAAATTAAAAAGATTTAAGTGTACTGAGAAATACCAATTTATTCACTTTGCCTGGCTGGCAGAGTAGAAGAAAATAAGGGAAGTGAAGGGTGAAGTTAGACTTGGAAGGAACTGTTGGGAGGTCACACAGAAATTTTCCAGCTAGGAAAGTAGGAAAGGGATGTGATCAGAGTTCATTTTATAAATCATAAAGTTTTTTAGGTGGATATGATGGTACCTGTAATCCCATTATAGGCTGAGGCAGGAGGAAATCAAGTTTGAGGCCAGCCTCAGCAGCTTAGAAAGAACTTGTCTAAAAATAAAAAAGGGCTGAGG